AATTATTCTGGTATTTTACACATATTAGATATCTGTCTTGTCAGATACTCCTGGCCAACTTTTTAGCCCAGACTGAGGCCCTGATGAAGGGCAAGTCAACTGAGGAGGCCCGAAAGGAGCTCCAGGCTGCTGGAAAGAGTCCGGGGGATCTTGAGAAGCTGTTGCCACACAAGGTCAGCACTACTGAAGGGGCATGCTGGGGCTGGAGGGATGCTGTTACAAAGTCGGCATGGGTTTGCAGGGGGCCTAGCTTGTCCTATACAGTGGGGAGTTCCTTCCTCCCACACACTGGAGTTTCTCTTTTAGGGGTTGGGAATCAGGGTTAACTTGAGGACATTCTTTGTTGTTTTCTGAAGGTCTTTGAAGGAAATCGCCCAACTAACTCGATTGTGTTCACCAAGTTAACACCATTTATCCTTGGGGCCTTGATCGGTGAGTAGGGGAAATAACTGGCTTGGAGTCCGTTGGATGGGGCAAGGGAGGCCCTAATGTGCACTGTCTGCCACCTCTGCAGCTCTGTATGAGCACAAGATCTTCGTCCAGGGCGTCATCTGGGATATCAACAGCTTTGACCAGTGGGGGTGAGTTGCCGACTCAGGAGGATGGGGAAAAGCTGGCTGGAAGATTTCAGCTACACTGAAACCTCACACTTCTTCCTCCTCTTCTCCTTTCTGGCAGAGTGGAGCTGGGAAAGCAGCTGGCTAAGAAAATCGAACCTGAGCTTGATGGCAGTAATGCAGTGACCTCTCATGATTCTTCCACCAATGGGTTGATCAACTTCATCAAACAGCAGCGGGAGGCCAGAACTGAATAAATACCTTGTAGCCCCAGCTGTGACTTGGCCTTCCTTGGCATACTCTGCACTGCATGGTCCTGCCCCTCTCTGCCCGAGCACCTCGCGGGCTTGGACCACAAGCCCTTTGGGGGAAGCTGGTCTGGAATTAACCACCCCACCCCTCCAGCCCAATCTCCCTGTTCTCAATCGCCTGAAGTGCTTCAGTGCAGCTGATATTTTTGACCTGTGTTCACATGGTTCATGTCCCAAGTAGAAAAATAAAGATACCACAAAGGTGAATGTGGGCTCAGCTTTTTACTGTTTGCTAAGATGGGGCTTCTCACGGTGGTCAGAGTGCCTGGTAGTAAAACAGTGTGCCTCAATTGACACTTGACTGTTAGTGGGAGCAGGACCAGAGTGGAAGACTTGAGGAGAGAAGAGGGTAGGCAGTCAGGAGGGCATCTTGGCCTCTGACTTAGTTACTTTCCACTTTTTGCTGAGACAAAATACCCAATACTCAAAGAGAGGATTAATTTAGCTTACTTTCGGTAGAGGTTTCAGTCCATAATTGGCCAGCTCCAAGGCAGAGGGCACAGCTTGCTCCCTTTATCTTATTCAGACTAAAGGGATTGGGGCTGTGCCAAACTAGTCACTCACGTGTAGTGCTTTAGTAATCACAGGCCCTTAACCCCAGCATCACACTTTATGGATTTAGCTGCCTTCAAAAGAGACTGCATGAGGCTTTGGGGAGACATCTAGACACAAGCCACAACCTCTAATCAGATCTCATCACCACCTTCCACGCCTTGCCTCTATAACTTCAGAGAGAACACCTACTCTGCTCATTGAATAGTTTTTCAAAGCACAGTGAGATTGTGACTTTCAGGTAAATTCCTGGACATGATCAAGGGTGAGTCCCATCTTCTGACCAGGTACTTAATCCTTTCCTTAAGTAATTGCCTTTATGTCTCGGAATATTAAATAGTATCCAGGTGTGATGGTGCACACCTATAATTCAGCACTCAAGAGGCCAACGCAGGAGGGTGGCTGAGAGTTTGAGGCCAGCCTGCACTACAAAGAGAGACCCTGTCTCAAAAAAATAGAAAAAAAAACCCCAAAAGATATTAAATAGTATTTTTGGCCAATTAAGGAGAAAAGGACCTTGATTTGGAGTCAGTGGACAAGCTGGGTCCAATGGCACATGCCTATAATCTCATCTACTTAGAACACTGAAGCGAGAGGATTGAAAGTTTGAGGATTGTAATGAGGCTGAGCATTATGATGAGACCCTGTCTCCCCCAAAAAACAGTGGTATGGAGATGTAGCTCATGAGAAGAGTACTTAAACCATACTCGAAGCCCCAAGTTTAATCCTGAGTACCACCTAAAAAAAGGTCAGGCATTGGTAGGCAGGCGAGAGGCTGAGCTCCCAGCACCTACACCTCAGCTCCTGATCCAGAGTGGTCCGGGTGAGGCAACTGCTGTCCCAGCACTGGGCAGAACTGCCTCTGCCCCACCTCCTGCGTCACCCACTTCTCCGTGGCATTCTAGCTTAGTTACATGCTTTTCCCAAAATAGACACAGCAAGCATTGGTATTTTCTGCTCTTAGGAGGGGGAGGCAAATGTAAGACTGCGTGAGGGATGCCCTAATTATACAAAGTGACCACACATACACAAATGTCCACTAAAAATACACTGAGAAATTGGCACTTTGAATTGATTTTTTTGTTTTGGAGATTTTCTAGGTTTTTTTGTTTAATATATTTCAGCTCCAAATATAAATGCTCTTTCCTCTTGATCTCTGTAGAGGTAACAGACGTTGTTTGACCATCAAGCTCTGTAGAGGTCCCTGGTGATCCACCTTCCTTCATTTTTGGTGTTGGCAGTGGAACCCATAGCCCCTTGCATGGTAAGCAATACCTTACCATTGAGCTACACCCCCTAGACTTTCCACCTTTTTTTTTTTTAATTGGTACCAGGGGTTGAACTTGGGACCTTGCGCTTGTGAAGCAGGTGCAGTGCCACTGAGCCAAATCCCTGGCCCTTCTCCACCTTAATACAGCTGACGAAGTGAAGGCTTGCTCTTGTCATGGGTACTTCCTCTTATAGAGCAAGGGGTCTTCCACACTCGGGCTATTGTCTCTTCCACTACCAAGCTCCAGATCCATCAATTTTCTCCTCCAAGAGACCCGGATGATTCCATCCAGATTTGCTCTGTGACTTGCACTTGTTAGAGGATCCATAGCAGGATCCTTATGGATATGCTGGAAGCTGGGAGATGCCTCTGCAAGACTTTTTTTTTTTTTTTTTTTTTTTTTAAGAACAACCTGGGGCCGGATATTTAGCTCAGTGACACCATGTCTGCCTCACAAGTTCAAGGTGCGTGGGACCGGGGATTTGGCTTAGTGGTTCTGTCACCTGTCTTGCAAGTGCAAGGGCCAGAGTTTGATCCCTGGTACCAAAAAAAAATCTACAAGTGCAAGGTCCTGAGTTTGATCCCTGGTATCAAAATAAATCTTTAGCCTGGCATGGTAGGACACACCTGTAATTCCAGCATTTGGGAGGCTGAGGCAGGAGGATCACTCTGAGTTCAAGGCCATCTTGAACTACATAGTGAGACTTTGTCTCAAAAAACAAATAAATATCAGTCAATGTTTAGTGGAGCACAGTGGCACACACCTGTAATCATGGCTACCGGGGAGGCAGAGGAAAAAGGATCTCAAATTTCGAGTTCAGCCTGGGCAATTTTAGCAAGATTGCTTCAAAAGCAAGGGCTGCTAGGCATGGTGACACATGCCTGTAATCCCAGCACTCAGGAGTCTGAGGCAAGAAGACTGCTGCAAGTTTGAAGCCAGATTGGGCTACATAGTGGACCGAACATCAGTGTGAACTACATAGCAAGACTCTCTCTCCAAAACAAAACAAAAAACCAAAAGTAGATGCTACTGCTGTGCTTGTAATGCCAGTACTCCAGAAGCTGAGGCAGGTGGATTGTCAAGAGTTGGAGAAAGCCTGAATTACATAGTGAGACCCTGTCTCGATAAAACAAAAAAGGGCCAGATTTAGCTCAGTGGCACCAGGCCTGCCTGGCAAGTTCAAGGAGATCAAACCCAGGGCCTCTGCCTTAAGTTACACCCTCAGCCCTTTTTATTTTTTATTTTGAGACAGGGCTGTTGCCAGGGCTGGGCTTGAACTTGAACTTGCAATTGTGCCTCAGCTTCCCAGAGTACTGAGATTTCAGTCATATGCTAGAGCACCCTAGGTTTATTGGGGGATAATTTATACATATAATACCTTTCTTTGGTAAACAATTCTGAGTTTTGACGTATGTAGTATGCAATCAATGACCACAATTGGGACATTCAGCATTTTCCTCACCTCAAAGTTCATGGCACCCTGGGTCAGGAATTTAGCTCAGTGATTCTGGTGACTGCCTCGCAAGCGCAAGGACCCGAGTTCGGTCCCTGGTACCAAAAAAAAAAAAATTTCATGGCACCCCTTTGTGATCAAACCTGACCCCCTAAATCTTGGGAACCATTGATCTGTTTTCTTTCACTTAAATTTTGCTCTTCCCAGAACACAGCCTTTTTTGTTTGGCTTCTTCCCCTTAGCATAATGCTTTTCAAATTCATTCATGCTATATCACAGGCATTTGAAGACTGTATTATGGGAAATTCCCAACATAAAAGTTGAATAGTATAATAAACCTCCTTCCATGTCTGGCACTAAATGTTAGCAATTATGCTAACATGCCCAATTTTATTGCATTGACAATACCCCTTTTTGGTATAGCAAACCCAGACACATCATTTTATTATATGCATTTCAGTGTATATCCCTTTTTTGTTTTGAAACAGAGTCTGGCTATGTAGCCTAGGCCGGCCTCGAACTCGTGTTGATCTTTCTGCGTCAGCCTCCTGAGTGCTAGGATTACAGGAATGCACCGCTACACCCAGTTTATCTCTCAAATTTTTTGTTTTCCTTTTGTTATCTGTAGATAACCATTATCTCGCCTACAATTTTTGTTTGCTGGCAAGGCTAATTTTATAGCAGATGATGTGTTAGGGGCTCTTAGATCTCGAGCCCGTGACATCAGCTGTTTGTACATTCGAGAAACCAAGTCCACGCGCTTTACAGTAAAGTAAATGTACACCTCAGTATTCCCTGTAGATGTTAACCGGGGGCGGGGCCATCTCCGTGATGTAGAAAACGCGCTTGCGCGGAGAGGTGCCACCTTTCGGCTGCCGTAGTTTTTCTTTTCACGTGCTCGCCCAGTCGTCATGGCGGCTTCTCGGAAGCCAGTGCTGTTAGGGCTTCGAGACGTGGCAGTGCAAGGCAGCTCCACAGGGTCGAGCTCCTGGACTACGAGCAAGTTGGGCGGCGTTCCAGTAAGGACGGACGCCGGAGCCAGGGTCGGCGGGTGCCGGTGAAGGGCACGCTGTGAGGAAGTGGGCGCGGTCCGGGTATAGAGTCGGGATCTGAAGCGTTTCACATCCCCTTCTCAGGATGTCCTGCCCGCCGTAGCAGTGCCGAGGCCGGAGTGTGAACGCTGCAGGCAGCCGCTCGTCTTGGTCGTGCAGGTGTACTGCCCCCTGGAAGGTTCCCCCTTTCATCGGCAACTGCACGTGTTTGCTTGCGCCAGTCCTAAGTGCGGCGACCACGGGGCGCGCAGGTAGGCGGGAGACACGCCGGGGAGCCGTCACTGGGAGAGGGCGGTGTCTGGGGAGCCGCGCCGGGCTGGGACGGGCGGGGTGAAGCGCTCACGCTCGTGTGTCTGTGCCCTGAAGCTGGAAGGTGTTCCGCTCCCAGTGCCTGGAGGTGCGAGAAAAAGAGACCCAGGACGCTCAGGTAAACTGGTTTGCCACGTCATGTGTTGCTGCAATGCAGTCGAGAATATTTTTCAGAATGTCGTTTAAGACAAACTTTTAAGCCGTGAGTTCTGTTTTGTTTTTGAGATAGGGTCTCTCTATACGTAGTGTGCCTCAGCCTCCGGAATGCTGCGAGTGCTGAGATCACAGGTGTGCGCCACCGCGCCTGGCTGTAATCCTTAGTCTTTGAAGTAAAATGGGAATGGGCTTTTCTTTTTCAAGACCATAAAAGATTTTGTGAGTTGTTTTAATTTAAACTGAAGGTCTTGTGACACATAGTTTACTGATTTTTTTCTGTTGGGAAAATACCCGGGTTTGTACATGGGTATAATTCATATATAGTACATATAGTTAATGTGATATGAACATATGTACATCTATAACAAACACATTTAGCAAGGTGAAATCCAAGTGTCTTAAATTGAAAAGTCAGGCAGGTTGGTACTGCACAACAAAATTCAGCCTGTCTTTGCCTGTCGAGGTCTCTTTATTTACATACTGAGTATTTATATGTTCCAGGTGTAATACTATCAATACAAGGAAAAACAAGGATTCAAGGTTCAATTGCAGGTAGTAGGGAAACACCGACTCTTTTCATCTCAGAGATGTAACACGAGGATTGAAATCTTTATTAACTGCTTAAACAGTCTGAAGGAGGCTATTTCAGGAATGACCTCCTGGACAACATCTCAGAACTGACCCATCACATCACGCTACATCTTGTGCATTTAGGAAGCTTAAGTGTAGTCTTGTGAACTGGAAGCTGCTCTTGTCACAGAACTTTTGTTTCTTTAGCCTTGGTCTACTGCCTTGATTCTGCTTCATGGCATTTCTTTCCACTTCATTCTGTCTGAGGGTTGTTTCTAATGGCCCTGATTACACATTTTCTGATCTGAAACCCTAGTTGTCAGGAAGTCTGGAAAATATTTTTCTTTTGTTGTAGGGCCAGGCAAGCTGGAAGTATAGAGATGCGCCACACTCTGAATTAAATGGAATCCCTTATTATTAATAGCCAGTATTCCAGAGTGGGCTCAGGCCTCCACAAACTCTGGGAGGCAGAGGAAAAGCAGTTTGCAGGGTCCTTTTAAGGGCTCTTCTATTTGAGGAGGGCTAAGAGACGGAGAGAAAGTACAGAAGCTGAATTTCACAGGTGCAGTACTTTTCTAAGTAAGTGGGGCTCAGGAGCAGTTTCACACATGTTAATTAAAACAAAGTGTCACATAGGTTTACAAGGTAGTAAAGATAACATAGTTGCAGGCACATAGGATGCAGTGTTCTGTTATGCATTAATAGAGGAGACTCCCTTGGGAGAAAGGGAAGGTGACCATCTGGAATCACTGGACTTTACACAAATGGGGTCAGATACACAAATGGAGTCAGGTTGGCTATCGCCCTTTCAGTCTGTGGCATACATGAAGCACAGAAGATTTTGAATCCCATGGTTGAAGAAACCATGTGTTAAACCTGCCACTCTGTTCCTGAAAAGAGGAGGATTCAAGTCACTTCTGGCATGCTTTTCAGTAGATAGGAGTCCAGGAAGTTGAATTGGAGTGTGCTAGAGGGAAGGGCTGTGTGAAGGCTCCCTCAGGAAGGTGAAGGGACGGGTGACTAAATCCAGAGGAATAGATGAAATCACCTAAATGTGCTTAGACCTAATGCGTTGAATATTCTTCGAGAAACAGGAAAATGACCTTGCTACTGAGAACTGGTGCGACGGTGCAGATGACTGGGGAAGTGACATTGAGGAGGTGCCTCCACCACAGCTTACATTGGGTCTTGGAAATGATTCTAACAGTGCCAAAGATGTAGACTGCACTGCCCAGCTCCATGACCTCCATCTTCAGGACACTCTCCTGCCGGCTGCTCATCCTGCACCTCCAGGGGAAGGTGTGGCCATTTCTTCTGTGACGCCGCAGTTCCTGCCCTACTATATCTGTGTCGTAGATGAGGGTGACTACAGAGACTTTGCTAGTCTAGAGCATGCCGACAGCCTTCTGAGGGACTACCAACAAAGAGAAGGAGTTGATATGGAGCAGTTGCTTTCCCAGAGGTGAGAACATGTGTGCTGAGCAGTGGCTTGGTCAGGAAGCCCCCACAGTAGGTATCCAGAATTCCTGCTTCACTCCTCTTGGGTAAGAAAAGGAGACAAACACAGTCCTTGTCAGCCAGCCTCAGGAAACTTTAAAACACTTGACTGTGCATAAATGCCCTCCAGAAGAACTGAGATAAACAAGAAGTTAAAGATGCCAAGTATTTTCAGAAGATGCATTCACTATATCTTTAACATTCCTTTTTCTTATTTTCATTGCTGGGTATTAAACCAAGAGCCTTATATATATTAGTCAGGCACTCTGCCACTGAGCTACATCCCCATTCCCTTTGCTGTTTCACATGGCATTTTTTTTTTCCCTTTGTTTTACCAGAGATTAAACCCAGAGAGTGCTAAACTACATTCCCAGCCTACCTTGAATGGTTTGATTGATTGATTGATTGATTGATTGATTTTGGTACTGAGGATTGAACCTAGGATCTTCACACTGAGCTACATCTGCAGTCCTTTTTTATTTTTTTATTTTAAGAAAGGGTCTTACTAAGTTGCCCAGGCTGGCCTGGAATTTGCAGTCTTCCTGCCTCAGCCTCCTGAGTAGCTGGGATTACATGCCTGTGCCACCACTCCTGGCTCTATTTTTAAATGTCTTTATAACAGAGACAGGTGAATTAGAAAAGTGCTGTTTGCCAGGCATGGTGGTGCATGCCTATAATCCCAGCACTCAGGAGGCTGAGGCAGGAGGATTGCTGTGAGTTCGAGACCAGCCTGGGCTACATAGTTCATTCATTCCAGATTAGTCTCAACTACATAGTGAGACCCTGTCTCAAAACAAAAAAAAAAAAAAGAAAGAAAGGTGCTGTTTATTTATTGAGTCTTGGCTGAACCTCCACAGCTACCTCAAGACCTTCAAGGCCCTTCCTCATCCTTAGTTCTCATCTGTAAAATTGTAGGGATGATACCTCTCTTCTCCATTTTAACAATTTTGGGAACCAGGTGAGAAGATCTTGAAAGGCTTTATAAACCAAACCAAAGTACTAAAATGTAACAATGTTCACTTTTGCTATTACAGTGATAGAATTAAAACAGGATATTTGGAGAGATGACCTGGTTTCCTTATCAGAGCTATCTCACCTGTAGTCCTTTTCAGGATAATGTTAAAAAGGACTTCCTGATACATATTAATGTTTGAAAACAATCTGATGGAAAGCGTCAATGGACATAATGACTTTTTTGTTGTTGTCCCCCCCCAAAAAAAAAATTGGGACTTGAACTCAGGACTTTGCACTTGCCAGGCAGGCACAGTACCACTGAGCTAAGTCCCATCCCTTGTTTTTGACGCAGTGTTTCACTATGTAGTTCAAGCTGACTTTGAAGTCACTGTGTAGCCCCAGTTTGACCTCAACACTTACCAATCTTCCTGCCTCAGCCTCCCAAGTGCTTGGATTACAGACATGTATCACCAGTGTTTGGCTTACAGCTGCCCTTGAATGAATTGTGTAGCCCAAGCTGGCCTGGAACTCAAAGTGATCCTGCTGCCTCTGATCTGAGATTACAGTTGTGCACCATGGTGCCTGGCTTTAAATTTTGAAATATTAATTAATTAATTTATTTATCAATACTGGGGATTTTAACTCAGGACCTTGCTCTTGGAAGGCAGGCACAGCACCACTGAGCTAAATCCCTGGCTCCTTAAAGTTACTTTTAAAAGATGATTATTTTATAGGGCCAGAGTATAGCTCAGCTGTACAGTGCCTACCTGTACTCAAGGCCCTGAGTTTGATTCCCAGTGCCAAAAAAGAAAAAGAAAAAGAAAAGAAAATTATTTTATTTTACCTTCTAAATAATGTAATTCTCTGGATATTCACACTCAAAAGTTATTTCTGTTTTTTTAGTTTTTCTAGAGATGGTGATGAAAAATACGAGAAGGCCAAAATTAAAAATGGAAATCAAATGTTTTACAAATTCATGAAAAGAATTGCTGTTTGTCAGGAGCAGATTTTAAGGTAAAAGGGGAACATTTTCTTTCACTATTATTATAAGAATAATTTGTGTTGGAGCTGGGTGTGGTGTTGCACACCTGTAATCCTAGCCCTTGAGAGGTTGAGGCAGGAGGATTGCCAAGAGTTCAAGGCAGCCTGAACTACATAGCCATACCTTGGCTCAGCAGCAACAAAAAAAATCTTAAGAAAATTATAATGACAAAACCAAGATCCCAGTGTTCCCCAAACCAGGAGAGAATGCTTAGATTTTTAGAATATTACCATAACTTTTTTTTTCCTGGTATTGGGGATCAAACTCTGGACCTCTCATTTGCCCGGCCCCCTACTTTCACTTTATTTTTTGTGCACATAGGTACATGTATGTGTGTATTTTTAAAAGCATAATGGAAGCCAGCCATGGTAGCCTACATCTGTGATCCCAGCACTCTGGGAGGCTGAGGCAAGAGGATCACAAGTTGGAGCTGAGGTGGGGCAATTTAAGGACTTAGCAAGATCCTGTCTCAAAATAGTAAAGGGCTAGAGATGAAGTTGAGTGAGAAGGCCCTGGACTCAATACTCAGACCTAAAACAAAATAAACAAAAAACACCATAACTGGGATTATAAAGTATTTATATCTTGTCTCTTATTCAATAAGCATTTACTAGTATTAAGGAGTAACATTAAAAATTCTGCAAAGTATTTTTTTGACCTTTTGTTTTGTTTTGTTTTTGTACCAGGGATTGAACTAGAGACTTTGCACTTACAAGGCAGGCAACTGGAACCGCTGAGCTAAATCCCTGACCCTAGACCTTTTTTTAAAACTTAAAATTTCAATAGAAAAAACATTCATAATGCTGAAAGCTGTGAAAATAGCCAGGTGTGATGGTAAATGCCTGTCTTCCCATCTATGGAGGTTAAGACAAGGCAAATCTCTTAAGCTTTTATGCCCAAGACCAACCCAGAAAATGAAGTGAGATGCAGTGTCTCCCCCCGCTCTCCCCCCAAATAGAAAAAAAGTTAAACCATATATATAAGCATAAATGTATAAGTAATGAAGTAATTCCTTTCAAACCATTCCTGGTCTGCTTAGGTACACTATTGTTCGTTTGTCATGTGTTTTTCTAGAGTTTCTTTATACACATGCAAACCATATGATTGTATATTACCTCCTCCCCCCAGCTTTTTCTTTTTTTTGGTACCAGGGATCGAACTTGGGACCTTGTACTTATGAGGCAGGCAGCAGAACCACTGAGCTAAATCCCTAGCCCCCCAGATCTTTTTCTTACACAAAAGGAAGCATTCTATTACATACTCTGTGTCCTGCATTTTTAACTGTACTGTATCTTGGAGTACCGGGTCTTTTCAGTACACTGAGAACATAACCTTTTATTTCTATTAAGTAACTGAGATTAGAATAGTTGTAGCATGTATTATATCTATATATGTATCTATATATATCTATATGTCTATATATCTATATTTTTTAAGGAATAACCAAAGTGTTTTACAGGGTGTTTAAATTATGTTCTCCACAAGAAGTGTATAAAAGTTCTAGTTCTAGAACATCTTTGCCAGTACTCATTATATTCAGTGGGTTTGTTTGTTTGTTGAGACAGAGTCTTGCTAAGTTGCCCAGGCTGGGCTCAAACTTGTGATCCTCCTGCTGTCCTGCTTCAGACTCCCAGCATGCTCGGATTACAAGTGTGGGCCACTGCACCCAACTTCTTTTTTTCTTTTTTTCTTGTACCGGGGATCGAACTCGGGCCCTTGTGCTTGTGAGGCAGGCAGCAAAACCACTGAGCTTTATTCCCAGACTTCTATTTAGTTTTTAATGTCAATGCCAGGGATTTAGCTCAGTGGCATTGTGCCTGACTTACAAACAGAAGGTCCTGAGTTTGATCTCCAGTACCCCAAAAAAAAAAAAAAAAAAAGTTTTTAATGTCAGTCATTCTAGAAATTATATAGTAGTATTTGATTGTGGTTTTAACTTGCATTTCTCCAAAGACTAAAAGATGTTGAGCATTTTTCCAGTACTTTTTCACCTTTGTACAAGGTTTAATTGAAAAATACAGTGTTTAAATTTAAAATTTTGGGGGGGATCTAACTCAGGACCTTGCACTTGCGAGGCAGGGAGTGGCACAACTGAGCTAAATTTCTGAAATTTTAAAATTTTATTACAGTAAAAGACACATTTTCATTATCCACCCCCTGCATACTACCCCCCTTTTACTTTGAACACTTTATCATTCTTGCCACTGTGAAGTAGTTCTGGAAGTCCTTTTTACATCTTTAGTTGTGCTGTTGTGGCTACCATGATGGCCCAAATCAATTCAGAACTTTTACTTCTCATGGTCATTTTGACTTTAGAGAAGAATCAGAAGTTGTATGTTGCAAATCTGGTGAATAAGGTGGATGAGAACACGTTGTAATGTTTTTACAACTCCACCTTTTGGTTGGATGGAACTCAGCACCAGTATTCACTGTTGTTGGGGTTTTTTTGTTTTTGGTACGGGGGGATTGAATTTAGGACCTTGCATTTGTGGCGGTACCACTGAGCTAAATCCAGGCCCTCACTGTTTTTTTTTTTTTTTTTTTTTTTTTTTTTTTTTTTTTTGTACCAGGGATTGAACTTGAGACGTTACACTTGCAAGGCAGGTGGTGCAACCACTGAGCTAAATCCCCAGTCTCCTCACTATTTTTTTTTTTGTACCTTGTCAAGACACTTACCAAAGAGGACTTCTAGAACTGCTTCCAAAAGTGTCAAGAATCAGCTGGACATAGTGGTGCATATCTGTAATCCCAGCATCTGGCGGCTGAGACAGGAGGATCTCCACATGTCCATGGTCAGGGTGGGCTACAGATGAACTCAAGGTCAGCCTGAATTACATAGTGAGACCCCATCTCAAAACAAACAAAACCCCCCAAAAGAAAAGTGGGATAAGTATGTTCCGAGTAAAGGGAGTATTTTGAGGGAGATTAATGCCAATGTATCTTTTCCTATAATACATTTTTAAAAATTTAAACATGCACTGTATTTTTTTGTTAATCCTTGTATGTAGTCTTTAGTAAAGAATAAGTTCAAATCTCTGACTTTTTTTTTTGGTACTGGGGATTGAACTTCAGCCCTTGTGCTTGTGAAGCAGGTACCAGAACCACTGAGCTAAATCCCCAGCCCCAGATCTCTGACATATTTTTATTGGGTTGTTTTATATGAGTTGTAGGAATTTTTCATATGTTTGGGATGCAAATCCTTTCTCAGGTATATGCACTTCATATATTTTCTCCTTGTCTGTAGTTTTTTGTGTGTGTGTCTTAGTAACACTGACTTTTGAAGGAAAGTTTTAAATTTTGATTATGCCCAAATTAACAATTTTGAGGGGTTTTATTTTTTGTAGAGCTGCGGGTGGAACACAGGACCTCAGGTACACTAGACAAGCATCCTAGCACTGAGCTACATAACCCTAGCCAAGTTCTGGGGTTTTTTTATGGTTATTGTCATGCACGCTACTGCTAAGCTGTACCCCAGCCTGGTGGTTCATACCTTTTCTTCCTGTGAAATCTGCCTACCTAGCCCAAGGTAACAGAATTTTTCTTGTGTTGTTTTGAGATCTTGTTTTTAGTGTTAGGACTTAAATATTTAATTCTATGATCCATTTTGTGGGGAACAGGTACCAGGAATTGAATTCCCATGCTTGCGCTTGCAAGGCAGGTGGTGGAACCAGTGAGCTAAATCCCTGGCCCTGTCTGTGATCCATTTTGAGTGAATTTTTTTGTTTGGTTGTTTTTTGAGACAGGGTCTCACTACGTAGTTGATGTTGACCTGGAACTCACTGTGTAGCGCAGGCTGGTCTCGAATTCGCAGCAATCCTCCTGCTTCAGCCTCCGGAGTACTGGAATTACAGATGTGTGCTACCACACCTGGCCTTTAGTGAATTTTAATATGTGAAATAAGTGGGTCACGTTCCCCCCCCCAGTACCTGGAATTGAACTGAGGACCTTGTGCTCGCCAGGCAGGTGCAGAGTTGAATATTTACTTGTTGAAACACCAGGATTTATATTACTGATTAGTTTTTGTCTTGTTTACCAATTACATAGAGAGGAATATTAAAATCCTCTAATCCTCATGCACAAGACCCTAGATACAATCCCAAACACCACCAAAACAAGAAACTCCTGTATCTGTGGATATAGATTTTTCTATTTTTAGTTCTGTCAATTTGCCTCCTGAATCTTGATGCTACTGTAAGATATTTTGTTGCATATTTGGAATTGTTACATTTTTCTAATGAGTTCATCCTGTTATGACACATTTAATTTATTTCTGCTGATACCCCTTCCTTCGAGTGTATTTTGCCTGATATTAATGTGGCCGCATTTGTTTAATTTATGTTTAATATGGCCAATTGTTTAAGTTTTGTATTATTGATGTTTATGCAGACCCTTTTTAACTTTTTGGTGGTGGTGGTGATGGTGTTGAGGGTGGAGCACAAGGCCTCACACATTTTAGGCTAGTACTCTCGTGCTGATCTCACATCTCCAGCCCACACCCATGCTTTTACTTTGAATCTTTTACTTTCAGCTTTAGATATAAAATGACACACTGCCCACTTGTACCATAGTTCTTTTCTTAGCTGGGCACAGTGGCACACGCTTGTGACCCCAGCATTTGGGAGGCTGAAGCAGAATCACAGCAAGCTCAAGGTCAGCCTGAACTACACAGCAAGACCTTGTCTCAAACAAAACCAAACCAGAGTTCTTTTTTTCTTTTGATTTGAGCCAGGGTCTGTCTAACAGGCCCAGGTTGAACTTGAGTTTGCAATCCTCCTCCCTCAGCCTCCCACAGTGCTGGGATCACAGGCATGCTCCACCACTCCTGGTTTGTAACATAACTCCTGAGTGCTCTATTTTTGGTTTTTTCCTTTTAGTTCCTTTTTGAATAATTTCTATTTACTGTTTCTCAAATTCACCTTATTGTTGTATCCATTATGATGTTAAATTTTCTTGAATGAAGTTATTTCTTTTTCTTTGGTTGCCTTTGAGACAGACTTTGTTGCTTAGGCTGACCTTTAACTCATGATCCTCCTGCCTCAGCCTCCCAAGTAGCTAGGATTATAGGAGTGTGCCACCATGCCATCTTACTTCTTTATTTCTGATACAGCATTTTTCATTTCTAACATTTCTATTTCAATCCCTTTTAATTTCCATTTCTGTGGCATATTTCTCATCTGTTTATACCTTTTCACCTTTTCTACAATTTTTTTTTTTTTTTTTCTTAATTTTTTTTTTTTTTTTTTTTTTTTTTTTTTTTTTTTGTGGTACCCTGGATCAAACTCAGGCCCTTGTGCTTGCGAGGCAGGCATGGTGCCACTGAGCTAAATACCCAGCCTTGTTTTTGTTTTTTTGAGACAAGGTCTCCCTGTGCAGTTCAGGCTGGCCTTGAACTTTTGACAATCCTGCCTCAGCCTCCCAAGTGCTGGTATTACAAGCATGCATCGCCATGCCTGGCACTATGACATTTTTTTACAATTTGTTATTGATTCTTTATAATCCTTATTATATATGGGCATGGTGGAAATCATAGTGAGACCCTGTGTTAAAAAACCAAAATAAAGCGTCGTGTAACAGATCTGTCATCTTGTATGTGGGTCCTGTATTACCTTTCTTTATGGGTTAAATTTTCCTCCTTTGTATATCTAGTAACTTTGTTTTTTTTGTTATTTGCCAGAAACTATGGGTTGAAGAACAGTAGATCCTGGAGTATATTTTTACTCCCTAAAATCCATGCTCCTCTGAAAGCCAGTAGTGTGGAGATCTCAGTCCATTTAATCTTTACTTGAGTTGGGTCTACATTTTGCTATGGCTTTAGTTTGATTTGGTTCTACATTGGCTTCAATGCATTAATTGAGACTGAGTTAAACATTGACAGGACTGCAGGTATCTTGCTGTGGTTTACAGACTTGGTACTAGTTTTTTGCCTCTTGGGGCTTTGATTTGCTCTCTTGTTTTTTTACTCTTGGTAATTCTACAAGAAAGTAAGTTTGCAGTGGACAAGCCTCATTGGTGGGATGTGTCTCAAATGTATATGGCTTTGCTTCAGTTCTTCGTCTTCCTCATCCTAGGTATTCGTGGAGTGGAGAGCCACTCTTTCTGACATGCCCCATCCTGGAAGTCTCTGAGGTTCCAGCCTGCAGTTACTGTGGAGGCCAGAGGACGTTTGAGTTTCAGCTTATGCCGGCACTGGTCAGCATGCTCAGAAGTGCTAATTCAGGTAAGAAGCCCTTTATTAATTTTATGCAAAGGTATGCAAAGGAGGAAAATTTAACCCATGAAGAAAGGTAATACAAGACCTGTATACAAGGTGATGGATCTGTCACATGACACTTTAATTTCTGGCATTATTTTGGAATTATATTAAATTGAAAGACTAATGTTTCATTATAAAAAGACCATACCATATTACGGAAAATTTGGGAAATTAAAATTAAGAAATTTATAGCCCAGCAATCCAACACAAGCACTAATAAACAGGTTGATTTAAAGTGAAACTTTTTTTTTTTTGGTACTGGAAATCGAACTCAGGACCTTGAACTTGCCAGGCAGGCGTGATGCCACTGAGCTACATCCCTGGCCCCACAAAGCTATTTTTTATCCTTAATTTTTTTTTTTCTTTTTTGGTACTGGGGATTGAACTCAGGACCTTGCACTTGCCAGGCAGACACTGTGCCACTAAGCTACATCCCCAGCCCTTATCTTTTACGTATATATATATTTTGGGGGGTACCAGGGATTGAACTCAGGCCCTTCCGCTTGCAAATCAGGTGGTGAAGCCACTGAGCTAAATCCCCAGCCCTATCCTTTATTTTTTTATCACATTTATTATATAACAAAAATACTGTCTTTTTTTTTTTTTGGTACTGGGGTTTGAACTCGGGTCCTTGTGCTTGCAAGGCAGGCCACTGAACTGCTGAGCTAAATCCCCGGCCCTGTCATTTTTTTTTTTTTAATTGCGTAAGCCAGGCATAGTGATGCATACCTGTAATCCCAGCATTTGCGAAGCTGAAGCAGGAGGATTGCTTCAAGTTGAGGCCAGCCAGCCTGGACTACATAGTGAGTTCAAGGCTATCCTGAGTTACAGAGCAAGACTCTGTCTCAAAAGATGAAAAAAATGTTCAAATAAAAACATTACTTAACTTGGAATAGTGGTATGTGCCTGTCATCCCACTAGTTTGGATGATTGAGGCTAGAAGATGTCTCGAAGCCAGCCTAGGTCTAGGTAATGTAAATGAGATCTCATCTCAAAAACAAGTGAAAAATAAATAAATAAATTGCTTTCTAACAATGTCAGTTTTGTTTTGTTTTTTGAGACAGGGTCTCACTATGTATCCCAGGCTGGCCTTGAACTCACTGTGATCCTCCTGCCTCATCCTCCCAAGAGCTAGGATTATAGGTGTGTGCCGCCATGTCTGGTTCTGTTACAGTTATTTTACATTATCATTATTACATAGTCTTCACTTTTCTTTTTTTTTTTTAACTTAACATTTAAAAGAAAAATTTATTGGGCCGGAGATTTAGCTCAGTGGTTCCACTGCCTGCCTCGCAAGCGCAAGGTCCTGAGTTTGATCCCCAGTACCCCCGCAAAAAATAAATAAAATTTTTTTATTTTGTTGTTTTTTTGAGGCAGGGTCTCATTATGTAGTTCAGTCTGGCTTTGAACTCACTATGTAGCCCAAGTTGGCCTTGAACTTGCAGTGATCCTCCTGCCTCTGCCTTCACCAGTGTGTGCCACCACACTTGACTTCTTTAACATTTTTATCATGAAAATTGGTCCGGCATCACATTATCATGACAAAATACCTGAGGGCAGTTACCCTGACACTCAGAGCCACTAGATGGAGCCAGCAGCTGCTCTGAGTTCTGAACTCAATTGGCCATTCTCTAAAATGGCTACCAGCCAATCGCCCTTTCCTGGGGGAAATAACACACAAGCCACTGCAGTCCCGCTGTGTTCACTGTTCTGTTCCATTGGTGATTCTCACCATGGAGGCCTCTGGGGTCACCAGTAGTCACTGTGTTCAGCAGTTCCAACTACCCTTCCCATGCAGTGAGTCAGGGCTCAAGGGGAATGCACCACTTGCCACCTCTTCTTTGTTGAAGTCTCTTTCTTCACTCTCCCATGTGCTTCAATTCTTGCTTCAGATCCTTGCCTGGATGTGTGTGTTACTGGGTACTGAACTTAGGGGCTTTACACTGAGCTAGGTCCCCAGCCCTTTTATGTTGATTTTCATTTTATATTGATTATATTGATATTGAGACTGGGTTTTGCTAAATTGGTAAATTGCTCAGACTGGGCTCCAAATTGCAGTACCCCTCCTGCACCCTTCCAGAGTGCTGGTATTACAGGCATGCACCTCCAAGGTTTTGCTAAGTTTTTTAGGGAGAATTTGGACTTGGAATCTCCCTTCCATCCACCTTTTCTCAGTGCTGGGATAGCAGGTGTGCTGGTAATACTGTCTTTATCACAGAGAGGTAAAGTAAATTGCTCAAGATTATAGAGCTGGGATTTGAACCCAGGTTCTCTTGCTCTAATTCTGTGCTCTATCCATTGCATAAATGTTCATATTTTGAGTATACCTTGTATTTTTCTTTGCTAAATCCAGAATTTATTGTATCTTTCAGATCTTTTGGTGGAATTTGGAACAATTCTAGTTTACACATGTGAGAAGAGTTGCTGGCCAGAAAATCATCAGACTCCCTTGGAAGAATATTGCATTACACAAGAAGATCCAGATGAGTTATTATTTAAATAAAGCATTCCCTTTTATTTATACAAATTAAAACAAATTTTATTATACAAGTATGTGTGTATTTGCTTCATTTTAACCCTCATGTGTGTGTGTGTGTGTTTAATGCTGAGGATGGAACTCGGCCTTGCTCATGGTAGGCAAACATTGTTCCACTGAGTCACACCCTAGCTTGAATTTTTGTTTTCAGGTATCCCTTTCTTTTTTGATTCTTGTGCTGGGCCTGAAGCTAGCACGTCTTGATCGTGGGCTTCTGTATCCTTCAGGTCAGTGGCCTTTCTGCACAGTGGTAGCTTGGAAAGCTCCTTTACCCTACTGGCTCTGTACCTTGCTGCCAGCTCTGTGTGCTGCTAGACCAAATCAGTCAACCTGTTCCAGCTGCTCAAGGCCCAAACCTGAGGTACTGGCTGCTTAGATTTGCCCCATATTCCCTGCCCATCCTCCCTCTGCCTCCTGTGTCCCCCTTCTTGGTCTTGTAGCATCACAGGAAGGGGCCCCCGCTTTCCAGACATTGTCCCTCCATCCAGCTGTCCACCTTTGTAGTCTTCTGTGTTCAGTTCCAGTGTTATCAGCCATTCCTTTCTGCTGCTCCTGAGAGCAACATGAGAACACTTCTGCCAGCCATGTGCAGGCGTGCCATTTGCCTGTGTTCATGAGTCCCAGATAGCAAGAGGCAGTGTGCTTCCATGCAGTGTAACTTCTGAGAAAAGAAGCCGACCCTGCCCCCAACCCCGGCCCCAAGGCCCCTGAGAGAAGCAACTGCATGTGTACAGACTGAGGCTCCTGGAGGCCTGGATTTGCAGAACTGAACCTGAGCAGAGCCCTGCAGACTTTTGATTTTTTCTCTCTCTGTCATGCTGGTGAAGGGACTGCCTTTCCCTATGGCACTTCTGTGGTAGGCAGACTGCTTCAGCCTGTCAGACCAGTTATTCCAACTGGAACAGAAGGTGATTGCTCAGATTTACAGGTAGAGCATTCTGGATTTATTTAAATGGGCCAAGGAGGCCACCCATCTGATGAGAAGATGAACTGTGGCGTAAGAGTGTCCTTTCAAGGATCAGAAGTGAATACAGATATATTTCTAATTTTTTATGTTTCTACATTTTTTTTTTTTTTTTTAGTACCAGGGATCGAACTCAAGTCCTTGGGCTTGTGGGGGAGGCCCCAAAACCACTGAGCTAAAACCCCCGCCCTTTTTTTTTTTTTTTTTATACCAGGGATCGAACTCAAGTCCTTGGGCTTGTGGGGGAGGCCCCAAAACCACTGAGCTAAAACCCCCGCCCTTTTTTTTTTTTTTTTTATACCAGGGATCGAACTCAAGTCCTTGGGCTTGTGGGGGAGGCCCCAAAACCACTGAGCTAAAACCCCCGCCCTTTTTTTTTTTTTTTTTAATTTTTGAGACAGGGTCTCACTAAGTGTCACTAAGTCATTAAGTTGCTGAGTATGGGTTTGAGCTTGCGATCCTACTGCCTCAGCTTCCAAGTGCTGGAATTAGAGGTGTGCACACCTTACTGGACTTGTTTTTTATTTTTAGACTACAGATTCCTTGCTGATTAAACATATTCTTGAATCTAATTATATGCATTTGTCTTATGCATAGGTCTTACCCAGGTAAATAGAATACAGATTATCAGGGTACTATGTTCTTACAGAAATAAATATGTAACATTGTGAAGAAAGCAAGGTTTAAGAAAATAAGTCCAGCATAAACCCTTTGCTGTGGAAGTTTGAGGCAGGAGATTTTGCAAGTTGAAGCCCAATCTGGGCAATTTAGCAACTCAGTGAAACCCTGTCTCAGAATAAAAAAAAAAATTTAAAGCCTGGGGATATGCAAAGGCCCTGGGTTAAATCCCTGGTACCACCTCCACATACAAAGTAAAATTCTATATATTGCTTGTAAAATACCCAAGTCTAGGAAGATACCTGCACAGCAAAGGTCTTGACGAACAGGATAGGCTGGTAGTGTAGGTGGGACTTTCAGCTTTTTATTTCCTGCACTTGAGTCCTGTTAGAACTTATTAAACTGGGCAAGCATTTTACACTTATACATATGCATACACACACCCAGAGCACCCACAAAGAAAAGCAAAATCTATCAGAATTAGGCACCAAGCCCAGCCCATGCCAAAGGCAAGACAGGGCAGGCAGAAGAGAAGCCAAAGGAGATGGCTCCTATACACAAAGTGTCTTAAGAGGGAAGACGGTCCCATGTACAGAAGGTCCTGAGAGAGAGGAAAGATGGCAACCATATACAGTGTCCAGAGAGAGAGAACATGGCACCCATGTATAGAGGGTCCTGAGAGACAGAGGTAAGATGGCGTCCATGTATAGTGTCCTGAGAGAAAGAAGATGGCACCTATGTACAGAGTGTCCTGAGAAAAGGAAGATCAGCCTCCTGAGGAGGCCATCTATTAGGGTTATTGTACAATGGGGTCTTTGGGAGAAGTGAGCCATTGGTAAGGAGAGGTATCCCCAACCCTAGTCAGGCTCCCTCGCCCTTCTTGCCCTTCAGGCATTAGGAACACAGCATAAATATTCCTTAAAGACCAGCCTTGTGGTTGGTGAATGAGCAACTGCTGAGAAAGACCTCAGAAGTCAAATGTCATTTTTCTCTGTAATCTTTTTTTCTACTTTATTTTAGTAATTTTTTTGTAGCACTGGGGATTCAACCCAGGGCCTTATGAAAAAAAAATTTTTTTTTTGGTACTGAGGATTGAACTCTGGACCTTGCGCTTGTGAGGCAGGCAGCAGAACCACTGAGCTAAATCCCCAGCCCTACAAATGTTAAATGTACACTCTGCTACTGAACTATATCCTGAGCCACAAGGATTTCTAGTTTATTTGTTTTTGTGGAACTGGGGATTAAAACTAGAGCCTTTGCAGTGAGCTACATCCCTATCTCTTTATTTTTGTACTTTGAGAGTCTCACTAATCATGAAGTTGCCCAGGCTGAGGTTGAATTTAACTTTTCTGCCTCAGCCTCTCAGGGTGCTGCGATTACAGGACTGTGCCACCATTCCCAGCTTATTATTTTTTATTTTGAAGTTAACTTTAAATCAAAGATATGAGCTGGGTTTGGGGATTTAGCTCAGTGGCACCATGCCTGTCTTGCAAGCCCAAAGTACTGAGTTCAATCCTCAGTACCAAAAAGGAAAAAAAAGTATGAGCCAGCTGTGGTGGTACCAGCCTATAATCCCAGCACTTGGGTGGGTGAGAGGATTGCTTTGAGTTCGAGGCCAGCCTGGGTTAGCTGGTGAGTCAAGGCCTGAATTACATAGTGAGATTCTGTCTCCAACCTTCACAAAATAGAGCATGAGCATTTGGGGAACAAGAAGTTTAAAGAATAAAAATTATTTTTAAAAAATGATCCACAATTCTACCACATGCTACCATATACAAAAATATCAATTATTTTTTCCTTCCTACCTTTTTAGTTTTTTTACCTTTTTTGAGACAAGGTCTTACTGTGTAGTCCAGAGTGGTCTTGAATTCACTGTGGCCAGGCTGGCCTTGAACTCACAGCAGTCCTCCTGCCTCAGCCTCCCAAGTGCTGGGATTATAGGTAAGTGTCACATGTCCAGCTCTTCCTGCCTTTTGACATAATTGTAGTCTTTTTTTTTTTTTTTTTTTTACAAAATTTAATCATATTGTCTGGGAAAACCCAGGGTCAAAGAAGTAGGCGTAGGATGCCACAAAAGGCAGGCAGATCCAGGTTTTCATTTAGTACAATTGACTGGGGACTCACTGCCAGAAACGTGATCAAGAGTAGCAGGAAGACTAGTGGACCCCTGATCCTCTGTCACAGGGACAGAGATTATATAGTGGCCAGGACAATAGTGACTCATCCAAGCTGGAATTTACCTGATTTATCGCCATCTGCCATCAAGGATGTCAGGCACATTCCTAGCACTAACAGCACCAGATTCCAGTGGATCTCACAGCTCCATGTACCACTTTTACTGTCTAGTTTATAGTATGCTGGGAAACCTTGGTGGTGGTTGTGTCGGGGGACCAGGGTTATTCAAGGCCAATCAGTGGTTACAACTTCAGGTGGCTACGGTCAGATCAAGTTGAATCCATACATGTATAAATAGCTTTGTCTCTTTTTCTCACAATTTTTTTTTTTTTTTTTTTTTTTTGATGCCGGGGATTGAACTACAGATCTCTGCGCTTGCAGGACAGGCAGTGGCACCACTGAGCTAAATTCCTGACCTAGCATGCTATTTTTCTACATTTCTGGTCCCCATTCCTATTCCCAAATAAATTTTCCTACTCTTAAAATAAAATATTTTCCCATAATCACTGCAAAATATTCATCAAAACTTTATGCAATTTTAGTCATTTTTTCCTAATTTTTGTTCTCATGACTAAATCTTTTTCTTTTTCAAAATTAGTTTTTTTTCAGTTCTGTATGCGTGTGTCTATGTGTATGCCTGCGTGCTAAGCAGTGCTTCACCATTGAGCTACATTCCCAGCTCTGTGCAGGACAAAGTACTAGAATTTGAATGAATGAGTCAGGAACTGTGCACAAGGGTCAGTGATGTGGCTCAGTGGTAGAGTGCTTGCCTAGCATGCAGTAAGCCCTAGGTTTGATTCCCAGCATTGCAAAAAAACTGACTTAGCTTAGTGGTTCCAGCACCTGCCTCACAAGCACAAGGACCCGAATTTGATCCCTGGTACAAATAAATGAATAAATAAATAAATTTATCCTTGTGTATGAGGTTATGGGCCTGTAAACCAGCTACTAAGGAGAATCCCTTAAGTCTAGTTGTTTGAAACTGTCCTGGGAAACACTGTAAAACCCTGTCTCAAAAAGGAGGTGAAAAATAAAAGTTGTCCACATTTGTAAAAATTTTTAATCATTACTAAATCCCCCTTTTAGCATTTTTTTTTTTTTTTTTTTTTTTTGGTGCTAGGAATCGAATTTGGGACCTTGCACTTTTGAGGCAGGTGGTGGCACCACTGAGCTAAATCCCCAGCCCTTTGAAATCCCCTTTGAAAAAGTT